ATACTTGAAAAAAAAAAAAAAAAAAAAAAAAACTCAGAGTCATTCTATGAGCTGCTACAATGTGGCTAAAAATGTTTGCCACGTCATAATGAAATACTGGAAATTACAATAAAAAGTTCAAGAAAAGTTGTGTATCACCTCAGGGATATATCACTTTTGAGTATTTTTTAATGATGTTTTGACAGAAGTTTCTGATTATTAATGACCTTCATATGCAGTAATTCACAGCATTTTCATGTTTTTTTTTTATTAATACCATTACCTTTCTAATTTGTTTACTAATACAAAAAAAAAGAAGTTTCAGATTAATCTTAATAAATATTATGACCTAATTATGAATTGTCAAATATAAACATATTAATTATGCCACCATGACATACTACTGTTTGAAGAAATCTTACCTATTGACATTGGTAACAAGTTACTACTGAATCTGGCATGATCTCCCACATGGATTATGTTGTAAATACTTTTCCCCACAAGATCATCCTAGTAAAAACAATAATGAAAATATTTATTTCAATTTATCACCAAAATGGTTTCTAGTTTTAAGAAAATTAATTTACATATATTTTAGTCAGTTTGTTAGATGAAAAGGAACAAAACCATATTTATAGTATTTGAAAAAATTAACTTTCCAGAAGAACAGAAATATTCAAAACAGAATCTGCTTATTTCTTTTACTGAAATGTATATGTATGATCAAAAAACCATTTTAAAATTTTCTTGAAAAGTGAATATTTTTTTATGAAGAGTAAAGTAAGGATGAGCTACAGTTATTTTATAAAATTAACCAATGCTTTCATCTCATTTTGAAATCAGTTAACATCTTACTGTCATAATGTTTATGAGAAATGTTTTCAAAGGGGGTTGTAAAACTAATTCTGTTAAAAGATTACTTAAATATAAAATTACCAATGACTACTAATGTGATTTAAAATTGTGTTTGAAAAAAAAAATCAATTTCACAGACTTTCACTTCTAATAACACAGTAGGGTCTCATACCTTGGTGTACTTTAAGAAATAACTGATGTTTTCTGATACCACTTCTATCTTTCCGTCTGTGTTAACAAGAAGAAGAAAGCCGTCAAGAGCCTAACAAAGTAAAACAAACTTACTAACTTAAAAAATATATATTTGTCTGCTAATCTACTAAATGAAAAATTATTCTAAATCTTATAAAACAGTGAAAAAAAAACTTTGAATAACAGATTGTGTATGAAACTGAGATGACACTTAATGGTTTTCAAATAAAACAGAAAAAAAAAGCATTATAAATGTATCAAATAAATGTGTGCTGCTCGACCAGAATCAAAAAGAAAAAGATAAGGAAAACATTTAACTCTGTAGTAAACTAGTTATTGTTCACTTCATTATTTATTTAATGTTTCTATTCTAGGTTTGTCTTATGTCTCTTCATTACTACATCTTGTTTGAATTTTTGTGAAAAGTATATTCAAGGTTAAATGTATTAGCAGCATGAGTAGTGTAAGTGCTTTTCTTTTTACTAAACAATCATAAATCTATCAAACAACATGAGAAGCTTTTATCTCACCACTCACAATAAAATATGATTAATTAAAAAACACAACCACAAAAAGGCATTCTCCAGCTAGCTAAAAGATAACAAAAAAACACAGTTTTAACAATGCATGACAAAAATTTCAAGACTTTCACCTAATATCAGACAACGGAATGATAGCCAGCAGTCAAAAAATACAGTATAGTGTCTGGCAGGATTTTTACTCCTAAATTAAAAATAAAAAAAAATTTGAAGTTAAACTACTAACTAATACTCTTGGCTGTGGTTTATGATTTCAAATAATCTTTTACAATCCAACCATACATATTAATTTAGGTTACAATACAAAAGTTTCAACCACTACAAAATATGACTAAATTGCAGCATAGTTTATTTAAACTATTCAGGGATAACACCAGCAAGATAAAATGGTCACCTTATCATCCTGAAAATGGACCTGAACATTGGGATAAGTCACAGTATTGTGTTAATAAAATCCACTCAACATGTAGGTACACACAGGAAATTATGCAATTCTCTGAGAAATTCTTCCAACACATTTCACAAAATAAATGTTCAACAGCAAATCCCATGGGAATAATACATGTGGGGATCAAATACATCATGAATATTTTGTCAAATTTGATTTTTTTCTTCCATAATAAGTAATATGAAGCAACATTTATATCATCTTATTTGTATCATGGCCTGGTGGTTAGGGTGCTTGAGTCATAAACTGAGGGTCACAAGTTCAAATCCTTGTCACCGAACATGCTCCTACCATATGGTTGCACAAAGGGAGGCAGCTACCTAGGTGTAATAATTCTTGGGTTTCAAAGATACCATTCGACCCCACACTAGTTTTTATCATCAATGGTTGAAGGCTTGACTGTAAGGACCACTGAAGTTGCACTCTTCATTCAGTAGTTTACATCAGTTAACAACAGGTAAAACCACAGCCACAATACATAACAAATTTAAAATTTGGGCATTTCAAGATATTTATATCCCCCTCATCAGCAATCTGTAACACATCATAGATGGTACGAATTTGCACAAATTTGTGGTGACTGCAAGGTTATCTATGTTGGCAAAAAAAGCATGCCAATTAAATATATCTACCTATGAACATATCATATAGAACTGATCAAAAACTGAAAAACTTGTCTCCTCCTATAAAATTACAAAAGAAAGAGTATAAACACATAATACCTACAGTATTTTGGCATCAGGCTCATCTAACCAGGAATTATTAATAAAAGAAAGACTGTTAACATCCAGTGAAAGCCCATAGCTTAACAATAACCAAAGTTCATACCAACTATCACCATTTTAATTTGGATTTTTAGTGCCTTTTTGAAATGTTTATTGTTATGTTACTTGTATCCTGTTATCTTTCTTTACATTTGTTCTATCACCTCAATATATCAATTCAAAACAAGATATCAAAATTATGTAAGAAATAGTACTATCTTTGATGTACTACAAATTGTTGATGATGGCACATGTACATCCCGATACAACTAAATTTTAAATATGATACTAATCATAGCTGAGATTTTCCTGTTCTTTATTAAGATGTTTTCCATTTAATGAATCAATAGGTGACAAAATTTTTAACTTGTCTTTGCATAACAGGAGAAAGATGACTGGTTCTGCAATTATTTAAGTAATCTGTTCAAACAATATATTCTTTCAGATTATCTTCTACTGAGCTCGGACATCTTCCTCTGTCCATCTCTAAACATATGTTATCATAAATTACATGGGCAATAGACATTTCTCTAAGATGTTGCCATGCTAGATACACTCTAATGATGAAGATAAGGTATAAAAGTAAAATAATCTTTATAAAGACTTTAGCTAGATGCACACCCTTCATAACAACTTTTACAAACTATAACAGGTTCAATAAAGGTTTTAGCCAATCTCTAACCACACTGCACACATCATACACACACACACACACACATATATATATATATATATATGGGGAACTTTATTTGTTTGTATCAGAGACAGATCAGTTGCATGAACAGGAGGGTATAATATTACACCAGCATATTCTACTTAGTTTGCTTTAATACAAAATCTAACTTCCCAGATCGACATCGCACTCATAGAGGGAAAGGTGCTATTATAAACAATTTCCCAAATTTATGTATAAAAACTGCTAACCTGCTGATAGTAAGTACAAAACTTTTCAAAGCTTCCATATCAATAACCTTAAAAGAAAAAAAGATATTGTTTTACAAAGTTTATTTTATTTATGAAGAAAAATAAGCTTATACACTTTTTAATCTTTGATATGTTAACTGATAGCAACAAATAGCCAATAGAGTACTTCTTTTTTGCAGTAGTATAAAACCAAAGCCTTTCAACTCTCTCAATCAGTAATATACACACAAACAATGTTTTTTTTCTTAGATAAACAAACTTTAATTACAACTTTAAATTACAAGTTTCAGAATTATTTCATCAGGAGCAACTTTTGACAGTGATGGCAGTGAAGTATTGCCAAAACTTGTAGAGTTATTACAAGTTCTGCATGAAAACTGTTGTTTTTATGAGTTTCACTGAACTGCCATTATGTAAATTTCAATTACTCTCAATTTTTGTCTATTAGCAGAAGGCAAAACTTCCTCAAACTGCCTTAGTTTTTTTGCAAGGAAAAAATATATAATAAATGTTTTAAAATAGAACTACAAATTTCTAGCATTTTCATCAACCATTAGCGAAGAAAAAAACTGCCACACTTACGAGCACAATAAAATAAATAATAATAATTGGACACTCCTATCTATTCAAAACATGTAGAAAATGTGCCAGACTTAATTACAAAACACCCCTTCTAAAAAACTCCAGTACAATACTCTGGCAGGGAATTGCATTACTCACCTCTAATAATAAAGGGCCAAGGATTTCACTATTCAAAATGCTGGAATTACTTGAAGATACTTCACTTTCTTGAAGTTCATCACTTTCACCTGTAGCTACAAAAATAGCTGAACTATTATAGACATTTACCTCTTTCATTAACAGTACTTAAACTCAAAACAAAACTATTAATATAACATAATGCCCCAAAACTACTATAATTTATGTGGCTTTCTAACTAAGATATAAAGTGGTCATAAATATTTTACTACTTACTGAAGTGCTGTCTTTGATCTACATTCAATAAAATCTACTTGGGAAATGGCACTTTCTACCAAAATAGACTGATATAAAAACATCATAATTACAGTTCACAAAATGGCCTTTCTGTTGCTTATTAACATGTACAATTGACAAGTAAGCATGGCTAAATAAGTAATTTCAAAAGCATGAAGAGTTGGAAGAAGTTTCTGTCATGGGTGTAGCAAATTTATTGATATCTCAGAAAATAAACAAGATGTGATGTATGCATATCTTTATGAAATTTGGTAGATTGTCATTAAACATAACAAGGTTTTCGTATACAAAACATCAAATTTTTAAATTAAGTTTAAGATTTGCTCCTGGTTTTTTTTCTTTTCAAAATGTGGAATATCCCACATGCAAAGTAATTTTGATTTTAAGATTAAAAATACCTTTATGCATCAGAAAATTGTCAAATTTCATTTACAAAATCTCTGTAACCTCCTAATAAAATCCAGACAAATATCAAACGTTTTTATTTTGGGAGAAACTTTACATTTTATCTGTTATTTTCCCTATCTTATCTCTGTACAGGTTTGGTCAAGTTTACCAACCTTGTAACCACCATAAAAAATTATGGAATAAGATTCAGGTTATGTTTTTTTCATTCTAGAATGACTACAAATTGTAACATGAAACCACAAATGTTTATTCTAAATAGCTTAAATCTTGTAACATTATACATCTATTTATGTTTATTATTTCTACTTTATTGACCTTTCAGCTGCGTCCGACTAACATTACAGAACCTGCAATCATGGCGCATGTGCATCTCATGTTACTGTGTCCAACAGTATAATACTAGCACTTACAAAGTGATCTGTCTAAGCTTTGTTCTAGTGAACCAGTATTTTGTAAAATAGTTACATTTCAGTTATAATACATTACATATGTGTATATATATATATATATATATATATATATATATATATATAATAATAACTAATTACTTATTATACTTATACTTATTAACTTAATAGGTTAAAGTAACGTAAACTAAAGTAA